ATATTTTTAAAAATTGATCAAATTTTCAAAAAAAAAATTTTTTTTAAAGAGGATCTAATTTCCTTTTCTATGTAATTTTACATTGCCAAATTAATGAAATTTGAACATCCCAGATAACAATCATGCGTCGCACTTTGTCGCACTTCAGGCGCGTGCATAATGAGACGCATTTAGCAGTCACTCGTTCTGATTTTGTTGCACTTTAGGCACATCCCGTGCAGAAAATGCCCCACTTTGCCCTATTTAAAACAGGGTTCTGGTCGGGGCCTCGACAGTTTTCCCTATTAAAATTTTTTTTTTTTAATAAAGTTCTTAGAATTCCTTTTTGTTGTAGAAGCTATTAACAATGAAAGGCAATCATTATTTTAGTTATTTAATAATTTTTTTATTTTAGGGGTTTGACTAGAATTCCTGGCCAAAACCCCAAGTGAGGTGTTCACTAGATATTAAATAGGGCTCTGATCAGGGCTTCGACAGTTTTCCTCGTTTGAATAAAGTGTAAATGAATTTAGTTTTTTAAATTAGTTCCCATAATAAAATTATAAACAATTGAAGAAATTAATTAAACGGAGTAATTATACTACATTTTTAAGAATTTTTTTATCTTATGGGTTTGACCAGAAATTCTGGCCAAAACCCTAAGTGGGGTGTTCACTAGATATAAAATAGGGCTCTGATCAGGGCCTCGACAGTTTTCCTCGTTTTAAAAGCATGTCAATAAATTTAATTTTTTAAAATTAACTTTTTTAAAACAGTTATTTAAGTTAAAAAAGCGTGTTCCTTTAAAACACTTTACAAAATAATTATGGTAACATATTTAAAAAACGAAAATACATATAATTTTTTTTCTTTAAGTACAATATTATAATAAAGTTTATTTATTAATAATAACAACTAAATTATAAATAACGAATAATAATAGCTATTAAATAATTAATTATTATACATTTATTTAAAAATAAAAATTATGAATTTGAAAAATAATAATTAATCAACAATTATTAATAAATTATACTTAATGAATTTTAATAATTATTAATTTATATTAGTTTAAAGTGAGAAAATTATTCGGAGAGATTGTTAAATTTAACACCTTCAATATTTAATAACTATTTTTTAAACATAATTAATAAATTTGAATAAAATATTTATTAAATAAATATTAATTATTACTTATACATTTGAAATCAAAAATTATAACCTTTATTAATATTATAAAATTAAGGAGGCAGAAAGGAGCGACAACCTCCAAAAGAAAAATGAATTAATCATAAAACCAAAAATTATATTTTTCAAAAATTTTTAAGTTTTTCTATTCTTGAAATTATATTATTTTTATCATTTTCACTTTTAAATTAGTCAAAATGACTATAATACCTTATTATGTTATGTATAAATATGTTGTGTTCATTATGTTTCTAATATAATAATATTTTTAATTACAGTAATTTTATTGTAATTTCTTTTGAATAAAATTAGCCTCACAAAATAGGGCAATTTTAAGAAAAACTGACGAGGCCCTGACAAGTTTTTCCCTAAGTAGGGCATGGGTCGGGAACAGCGTCACACACTAGTCGAGCACTGGTCAGTTTCTCTACCCAGAGCCACACCAGAGATCGGAAAACTGTCCAGTACACTATCAGGCCCACATTTTAATTTCTGCACGGGATGACGTGCGAGTCACACCGTGCTTGCTCAATGAGACACATTTTGCTGTCGCTCGTGCTAATTTTGTAGCATGCGTGAGGGCATAAACGTAATACTTTGAAATGAGGGGTTGATAGTAAAAGTGGTAATTAGGAGCAAAAGTGGGATGAGTGACTTGGGCGCAAATACGAGCTAAAATGATTTTGTAATTTATGGATAAATTATTTATAATTAATGATCAAAAAATATTTAAAATAGTAAAGAAAAATTTTAATATTTTGCAAGTCATTCGTGTAATAAACTTATTGATAAATATTTTAATTGTTTTAAACCATTTTTGCTACCAAGTCACTTATCCCACTTTTTCTCCCAATGTTTTTTTAAACCACTTTATATCAGCCCCTCAAATAATCTTATATTACATTAAATCAATAAAATTTATGAATTTATGAAAATTACTTTAATGATAACTTGTAGGAATTTTTAAAATTGAATTATTTAATAATTTACAATTTCAAATTTAATATAAAATTTATATTTTATTAATTTATATAATATGCATATAAACCATTCCATTATATTTCGACTAAAGTCGTTGCCAACTAATTTGAAAAAATTATAAAATTTTGCAGGAATGATTTTAAAGATATTAGGATCATCGAACAAAAAGAATTTTTTAAATATTTTTTATATTTATTGTAAAATAAGCATATTATTATTGCCCAATTTTCGTAATTTTTCATTTTTCTGGGCAGAAGTTATTTACATTTTAAAATCGTGAAAATAAGCAAAGTGCCAGTTTTAATTGCTTCTTTTTTAACATTATTTTGTGAAGAAAAAAGGAAGAAAGTGATTAGAAAAACTAAAAGTATTAAAAGTTTCTTTATATTTCATAAGGTTTTATTCAATTTAATGATTTCTCTTTCTCACATTTAGCGAATGAAATTTGCAAAAATAGGTTATTTGCCAGGTGAACTTTAAAATAATTTTTTATTTAATATTTCTTAATAATAATTGTTTCTATCAATTTATAATAATAAAATAATTCATTCATAATAAATTCTAATAATTTTTTTATGTTTTCATAGTAAATTATGTGTTTTCTTTAATATTTTCTAATAGACAGTTTTTACGACTTTATATACTTTAGATGCTTATTTTACAATAAATATAAAAAATATTTTAAAAATTCTTTTTGTTCGATGATCCTAATATCTTTAAAATCATTCCTGCAAAATATTATAATTTTTTAAAATTAGTCGGCAAAGACTTTAGTCGAAATATAATGGAATGACTCATATACATATAATATTTATTATGGATTGTAATTTATAATTTAATTTAAATAATAATAAATTACTACAAAAACTTTTTACTTAAAAAAATAAAACTTTACTGTAGAACGTTATTTTCATTTATTTATCTAAAGTTGATAATAAAGGCAGAAAAATATTTGACTTTATAATTTTTTAATATTCGCGGTCTCATCGATGCGCATGTGCGCAGCCAATTTTCCCAATATGGCCGAAAATGTACTTGTTGATGTCCGTCTCGAGTCACATGACGTCCAGTTTCGCACTGAGCCTGTGGTTTTATCGTTGGGTGAATGTCGTGATTGTTTGTTATTTATAAAAAGTGCGTGTGCGAATCACAGTTTTGTTTCTTTTATGTTTTATAAATATTTGTTTTTGTTTTAACTCGTTTTTAAATTAAAAAATATAACTGTCATATCGAACAAGAGCATTTAAAGTTGATTTGCTTCGAATAGAAAGGCTCTTAGACGCAGTCCAAATTGTTAATTTATTATATTATACAGTTGACTTTTGTTGAATTTGTGTTGAAAAGTTTATATTTATTACGAATTATGATCTCAGCTAATGTTTATTATAGGTTATTTAGGAGGTTATGTATGTTTAAGACTGAAGAGAAAAATGTTCAGTATTAATGCCATGTTTATATTATTGAAATAAAAAATTTTAATGAAATATTTTTAAATTTAACCTTAGATTTTTGTATTTAATTTTTTACAATATATTTATCATAAATAATCCTTAAAAAACGCACGAGACTCGCATTTCACTCTCATGCATCATGCACCTTTATGACATGCGAGCGTAATGCGTCTTATATGAGGACGCATCTGTCAGCGTCAGTGAAGGCACGAGTGCGAAAAGAAACCTCATATATGCGAGCGATATGAGACGCATATCAATCTCAAATTGTTATCTGGGATCTTGTAGGTGAGCTGAGGTAAAAATATTGACGTCGTACTTATTTTTTAATTTGTAAATTTAGCTGAAACATCTACTGTTTACATTTACCCCAAATGACCCTAAATAATTTAAATTAGGCATTTATATTAAAATGTATGCAGGAAAATGAATCTGGAATGACAGATAATCTTTAATTTTTAAATTTATAAAACATAATTTGGTATTTAGGCATCCCAGAACCTTTTGTTCTCAGAAAAGGGGAATTTATTTCTTAAAAAGGGGGACAAAAAAACCTTTAATATAAAATAACTTTAATATTAAGAAAATTTTTTAATACTTACAACTTATAAACAATAGGAAATTAGAATAACACTAAATATTCAAATTTTTTATCATATAAATAATATTAATAATAATATTTAAATTATTTATTTTATTATTAAATAAATTTTATTTATTTTCTATAAAGAAATAGATATAAATAAGAAATATTATAATTTAAAAATAAATTCAATTTCCGATTGTACTTACTTATTAGTTTAAAATTCCCACCTTTTTGAATTGTTATGTATGAGAGGTTATGAGAAATTACACTGTAAAGAAATCTTGTGTAAATTTACAATGTCCGACGTTGAAAAGTTGAACGAATTTTTTTTACAGTGTATTAATACGAAGAAATTTACGAATTTATCTAACAGGCGAATTAACCTAGTTTATTTTATTTCGCCCGTTTCTAATTTAGCAAATTTTTATTTTCCAACGGGCGAAATAAACTATTTTTCTTATTTCGCCCGTTTATTTTCATACATTTTTCTGACGGGCGAAATAAAATATTTCTCTTATTTCGCCCGACACTGTGTATTTTTACAACGGGCAAAATAAAAATTTTTTCTTATTTCGCCCGACATCTGGCGAAATAGCCACTTCGTAAAATTTAACACCATTTTACATGTGAATACTGTGTGTATTTATTTTTATGGTTATGTTCGACTTTTAAAACTATATAATTAAACATATATATTTAAAATCCCCCTTTTGATTTATAAACTACACTTATAACAGAATAATTTGCAGAGAAAAAATGTAAAAATATCATTTATGCTTAAAGCAATAATAAAATAATTTTAAAACATAACCTACTTTACTGTTCCGCCTGACAAACAAAATATTGTCATCTTCCATTGTAAGATTAAATTTATTTCAAACAATAATAAACATTATATTTTTACAATTGATAATTAGGTTATAGAAATTGATCCTTTGTAAATAACACTGAACAAGAAAAATTATTTTATGTTTGTTGACATTTTTCAACTGAGAGACTGTCAGGCAGTGTTGGGAAGTAAACGCATCACTCTAGAGTCTATAGGTATCGGAAACTCGGGAAATTCGGAAATCGAGATGCATACATTCTCAAAATGAAAAGAGCATAAGGCTGCGGTTACACCTCTGCAGGCAGCCTGCTTGCCTGCAGGTTGTCATGGTAACGTACAAGAGTAAGAGAGTCAGTGACTTCAAACTTCTCCCTTACTCTCTTTGCTCCTGCCTGCGCAGGCAGGCAGCCTGCAGAGGTGTAACCGCAGCCTAATGCGCAACTTATTTATTTATGATTTTACATATTATTTAATAGATAGAGAGAGAATGCAATACTATTGTACATAATATATGGCTTGATTGAACTTTATTTATCTAATTTATTTGTATTTATTCAATCTGTTAGGCTGGAGTCCCATGGTAGCGTTTTGCGTTGCGTTTTGTAATTAGGCAACACGGGGGTGACACTGGTGCAGTTTCCCATTAGAATAAACTAACCTGAGAGTTGACCGTCGCCACTGGTGGCGCTGGCTGGTTAGTTGGCCGATAATGAGTGAAAATGCATTAGAAAAAAAGAAAAATTTATTTTAGAATCAATAATATTAATTTAATGGTATTGATTTGTATATAATATTGATCCAGTATCTTTTTAGCATTTTTTATAATATTAAAAACTTAGAAAAAGCGTTTAACATTTTATTTATAAAGAAAATTGTGCAACAATTCATGGCGGGAAATTTAAATTAAATACTAAATAATATTATAATAAATAAATTATCAAACAAATTTTTATTTATACTGTAAAATATTATTAAATAACAGTCAGTAGCAATAATTAAAATAATAAAAAATAATTTTAATTTTATTAATTTAAATTTCCCGCCATGAATTGTTGCACAATTTTCATTATAAATAAAATATTAAACGCTTTTTCTAAGTTTTTAAAATTATAAAAAAATGCTAAAAAGGTACTGGATTAATATTATATACAAATAAATACCATTAAATTAATATTATTGATCGTAAAATAAATTTTTCTTTTTTTCTAATGCATTTTTACTCAATATCGGCCAACTAACCAGCCAGCGCCACAGTGGTCACCAGTCAACAGTATGGTTAGTTTCAACTCGAGAGTGTCACCCCCGTGCTACACTGTAAAAAAATCTGCTGTAAATTTACTATGTCCGACGTTGGAAAGTTTGGTCACTACAAGAAGACTATATACAGGAGGAACAACTCAAGTATTTCCGATGGTCCCGATTTTAACGGACGATTGGGTGTACTACCCCGAGGCGCACTAGTCTTCTGCACACCTCAACACATGCATAACTGTGTATATTTTATATATATTCCATCTGACAGCTGTAACAGCTGCAAGTTTTTATTATCCCCCTCATATTGAATAATAAGTGTAAATATTAAGTGAACTTAATATTTTTAATACAGAAATTTCTAATAAAAGTGAGAAGTGTATTTAACACTAGTGTTTTTAATTATGATTCGTATTGATGAAGAGTGTTAATTTAAATAATAAAAGTTGTAATGGGATTTTCATAACCATTTTTTATCTTACAATAAAAAAAGGGTATGTTATATTATAAATTATTATCTATCCTATTGTAATATATAATTTATTATATATTTATTATTGCTGCAATTATATTTATTTCTGTTATAGCATTGTATTTGAGGTTAACCATAACCTCCAAAGAGGAATTTTTCCAACTGAACTAAGTTTTCGGATTTAACGCTCTACGATATTTCAAAGATTTTAAAAGAGATTTATAAATTATAAAAACTAATAAAGATGAAATCAAGCAAAAATATTTCAGAAGATACAAACTCTTTTATGGCATTTCATTTAGTGTTTTCAAAATCAACTGTCACAGAACTTGCACATAACCAAGAAAATTGTAAACAAAACAAACACACATTATTTAAAGATACACAGATAGAGTTTATACAGTTATGCATGTGTTGCGATGTGCAGAAGACTAGTGCGCCTCGGGGTAGTACGCCCAGTCGTCCGTTAAAAACGGGACCACTGCTCTCTATGAACAAGCAGGCGAGTTGGTTCTCCTGTATATAGTCTTCTTGGGTCACTATGTCCGACGTGGTATTTTTACACGCCGACTGTAATCTACATAACCTGCAAATATTTTTTGAAATAATATTTTCAGTCGTAACTTTTTGTATTTATGAAATATAGCCCAAAACTTTTTGTTATATTATTATTTACTTATAAATTAGCATATACTTTCTATAAATGTACATTATATACACTTTTTTAGAGTTATTTATAAAAACTTGAAAATTTTTTGAAAATCTTAAAGGAATAAGAAAATTACATTCGCCATGTAATTGTACAGATCGTGCGACGTAATATTACGTCAAAGTGTAGAAATACACGCAATGTAAAAATACCACGTCGGACATAGTAATCAAATTTTCCTACGTCGGACGTAGTAAATTTACACAAAACTATTAAATTACATAGTCGTATAATGTAAAATTATTAAAAATAGTACAACTACTTTTGGAACGAAATAAATTTACTACGTACAACCTATAATTTTGATGTGTGAAATTACAAGTTTCGTGTTATTTTACACCAGATTTTTTTACAGTGTAGGCAATGAGTGCAAATAGAGCAAACCTATATCTGTATCTCTCTGACACTCATGGCCTAGTTACAAAACGCAACGCAAAACGCTATCATGGGACTCCAGGCTTAAATTGAATATTTAGTCATTTAAGTGTAGCAAATGACTGAAAATGAAATTCCCTATACTAGTAAGTTTAAAGATTTTTTAGGTCTTAAAAGTTTAAAACTAGGGGGTGCGACCGTCTGTACCAAAAACATATAGGTACACTCTCACCTCACTGCCTGCCTGCCTGCGCAGGCAGGCGCCATAAGAGTGAGAGAGAAAAAACATTTAATTTGAATTTTCTGACTCTCTTACTCTTATGTGTTACCATGTCAACCTGCAGGCAGGCAGGCAGTAGGAGCTGAACTAGCGCCTTAAGGCCAACGCAGAATAGATCTGTAACCGGAACCGCAATCGTAACCGTAAGCGTAAGAATGAGTTAGAGAAGGATAAACAATATACCTATCCTTCTCTAACTCATTCTTACGGTTACGCTTACGATTGCGGTTCCGGTTACAGATCTATTCTGCGTTGGCCTTAAGTCCCGAATGCTCATTATGCTGAATACATAATTTAGAAATGACTAGATACGCGAATCCTCAATAAACTAAATTATATATTGAATGAAATTCAAAAGTCGAGAATAATCATCTAATATATTCTGCATAATGAAGAATATTAATTTACACTAATTCTTTTTCTCAAAAATTTGAAATTATTCTAATTTTTATGTTTGGAATTTCCACTTTACCTACATTTCATTAATCTGAATTCTAATTTAGTAGAATATATTTAATTGTCCGAATTATAATTTGTCAGAATGTCAATTTGATCGATTTTATATTTGCAAAAAATTTAATTTCACCGAATATCAATTTGTAAGAAACACTTTTTTGTAGAATTTGAATTTATCAGAATTGTAATTTTATAGAATATTAATATTGCCAAATCTAATTTTGGTAGAAATCTTTATCACAATGATCAATGTTCGAATCCTCAAAACTCCTAATTTAATTTTTTCATAAATAAAATGGATGCAACGTAAATATTTGGCGCAATTTTTAAAATTCTGATTTCTGATTGGTCAATTTTAAAAATTGCGCCAAATATTTACGTTGCATCCATTTTATGAAAAAATAAAATTATGGAGCACTCACAGCTCTGCCTGCCTGCGCAGGCAGTAATTGGAGTAAGAGAGAAAGTCAATTAGAGTGAAAGAGACAGTAAATTCAAATTTGTATTGCTGCCTACTAGCTGTGAGTGCGCCTTTAGGAGTTTTTGAGGATTCGAACTGTCGCGTCACAGGTTATATTTTACGTAAATTTCCGTTGGATTCACTAATAACCAATGGCTGGATTCTTTTTACTGTTATAACCGCTTGAAAGCGGGCACTGAATTTAAATTTGAATTTATTATTCAGATTAAAGGTGGGATAAATAAATGTACACTTATAATTGATTGGAAAAACCCCTTTCGGGTAAAAAACCAATTTTATTTAAGTTCAAATATTGTTTCTTTTAAATATACACTTCACAATTCTGTTTTACAAATAATTGTTTTATTGTTAAATATTAATTTAACAATTTATATTGTTTGTCGAAGGTTTGATTTTATTCACACTTTATAAGATTCGTTGATTTTAACAATATATAATACTTTTAAAGATATACACTAATAATTAGTTGTCTCTTCTCAAGTCTCGAAAATTGTCTGAAGCTTTGGGTCTCAGGCGCTCTCTTTATATACCCAACTAAAAGGGGAGAGGTTTACCCTCCCCTCTTTGTTTAACCAATCAGAGCGCTGATGACGTGGCACTTGACCAATAAGCGTTGAACATTCAAGGTCAAGTTATTGCGCATTTTCCCAATACCAAAATAATGACACGTGTCAAGGTTAAATTATTACGCATTTAACAGATCTCAAGGTCAGATTATTACGCATCCTACAAATGACTCATTATTGTTATATATTTTACTGCGCAGTTTTTTCTTATCAATAATAAGAAGTACAAATACAGCATTTCATAATCATAGTTTCGTTTCATTTTTAAATTATAAGTAAAATATTTAATGCATATTCCTTAATTAATTAAACACTAATAATAATAATAAACTTAAATTAATATTATATCTAATTACAGTTTTATATAATTATTTATAATAATAGTTTTACAATATTCTTAAATAATACAATGATTACACGATAGAGAGAGAAAGAGAAAGAACAAATGTCAAATAGAAGGTCTTTTCAATTTCTGAATCAAATAATAAATATAATATTAATAATAATAATAACAATAATAATAATGATATTTAATTGTAATATAAATATAACTTTAGATTTTTAAATTTGAATCCTCCAATGATGACAATCGAAAATTCCTAGTTCATTTATATAGAATTTAAAATTCCCTATAAAATTTACTAGGCACTGATGCCAGGGGCCGTATTCTCGAATCGATGACCCTAGATGTCGCATGCGACAGACCATTCGAGATGGAAAAAGCTATTCTCGAACGCTTGTCGCATGCGAGATTTCATGTCGTATGCGATAATTTCCGAATGGTTCATCTCGAGTGGGTAGTGGCCATTCGAGATGCAAAGTCGTATACGAAATGCTAGTAAAAAATAAGGTTGTGTGTCATCCTTGTAATAAACGTATATAATATAAAGTAGTATTAGTGTACATGAACCGCATGCTAAAGTAGAAAAACTATACAAAATAACCTAAATGTAATGTTTAAGAATTAAAAGTAAACTTGTGAAATAAAAGTTTAATGTAAATAATTTATAATATGCAAAATTTATAATGGATAAATTGCACATGTTTGTGTTATTTTTGTGAATGAATCATGTTAACAATATATTTATTTTATTTTTTATTTTTTTAATTTTTTAATCTTCGTTTCATTTTTTCTGTCTGTTCACACTTTAAAGTTAGTTTTTGTGTATGCTTTTGTTTTTTTCTTTACAAAATATTGTTTCACAAATTGAAAGTATGCTCTTTTTTAAGATTTAAAATAAAATAAAATTTAAAATTATAAAATTACAAAAAATTTTGATTAACAAATAAATTTTCTTTTTGCAAAAATAGGAAATATATATATTTATTAATTAAAATTATGCATAATATAAAGGGATATATCCCTTTATTATGCATAATTTTAATTTTTCAATAACAATATTGTTCACAAACTGATTCTTTTCTTTAAAAAAAAAATATTACATATTCCAGTTTCTTAACATTTTTGTAAAAAATTCTCAATTTACAAATGCTAATATTAAAACTTTAATATAAAAAAAATGTTGTTACATTTATTTACGAATTTCTTTAATTATAAAATTATTCGTAATAATATCAGTAACTTCTATTTAAATAAATATTTGATTGTTATTATTTTTTCATTATTTTATTACATTTAAAAATAATTAAATTTTTGTAATCATTTTGTAACGTACGTCTACAAAATTCAATGTATTTAGTGTTTTTAACTAAAATTCTTCTATAAATTCATTATTTTTAATAATTAATTAAATATATATTGCCAAATATAACTAATTTCAAAAGAATTTGAATTATCAAAAGTTTAAATTAAATTCATTCAAAATTAAAATTTTATAAAATTTCAAACTGAAACCGCTCAAAGTTAATTTGTTTATAAAAATTGTAAACGCAAAATTGAATTGATTTTGAAATATTTAAATGAACGGATAACTATTTGTATTTTTCTCATATGTCAAGTTCTCTTCCTCCTCAATTATGATTGGCAGATAAGTATTTGGAAACGACGGCAACAATGTATGAATGTCGCACACGGAAATTTTCGAACAACCTATCTCGAACGGTCATTGAGAATAGACTTTCAGAGTCGCATGCGACATTAACCATTCGACATTTTACGCATGCGAGAATTGTCGAATGCTTTCGAGAATACGGCCCCAGATGCCACACGAACATTGATCATTGTGATAAAGAAGATTTCTACCAAAATTAGATTTGGCAATATCGTGTTAATTAAAATTCTTCATTATGCAGAATATATCAAATGATTATTCTCGACTTTTGAATTTCATTCAATATATATATAATTTAGTTTATTGAGGATTCGTGTATCTAGTCATATCTAAATTATGTATTCGGCATAATGAGCATTCGGGACTTATGTTTTTGGTACAGACGGTCGCACCCCAAAACTAGGTCTATGATAAAATAATACAATCTACGTACACGGAGAGAAATTTGAACCGTAAAAGACCATAGAGATATTATAAATAGAGTGGGGAAGGTATAGGCGGCAGCGTGTGGGGGAAGTGTCCTGCCATAAACAGAATGGGTTGGAGGGAGAAAGAAGATTTAACACCAGTATCTGTCCTTCAATGAGCTCCAGCGCAAGAGAGACACCTACTGGTGCTAAATCTTCTTTCTCTTTCTATCAGGCGGACGCATACATGCAAACCATCCCCACTCTATTTATATTATCTCTATGTAAAAGACAGTGTCTAATTCAGAAGGTTAAAAGAGGGGGAAAGTTCACGGTAAATCTGAGTGATTTCACCACGGAGTAATAATAAGGAGACTGTACTACCAGTGAGATACCGTGCCAAATGTCTGCCTTGGTTCACTGAGTAGTAAAGACTTCTCAAAAATAAAGCGCATGCGCAGTTTGCAACTATCTTCGTCACTCTTGAAAGAACGATGAGAGAGATCATTATTTTGACGTGCGAGTTAGAAAGTGTGGTTATGTTTTATTGTTGACAACAGCAACTATACGGGAAAATCAACATTTAAATAAGAAAAAATATTAATTAACAAACTGCAAAGAGAAGAGTAAGTACAATATATTATAATATTAATAAATTGTAATATAGGTGTGAGTAGATATTAATAAAAAGATTATTTTTGTCGAACCGGAGTAATTCTTTTCTTTGTACTAGCTCCTCCGACGGCCGCAAGCGGCCGTCTACGGTGCTAGTTTTTATATGTCCATTGTCCAAGTCCATTATTTCATTAATAATAATATTCAAATTTTTTCAGTTAATAATTTGCTTATTTATATTTGAAATGTTGACGTTTTTTTGACAATGCAAAATAAGATTTATTAGAAGTACTTTCTCTTAACAAAAATAAAATTTATATATTCGCGCTCTTTTTAAATAACATACGACTGCAGCGCCACCATCACATGTACAAACAATTTTAAAAACACCCTTCTATTAAGATTTTACATTCTCATTGCCCATTCTTTACTTCGATACTTTTCGATACATTCGACCTTTCCACTCCATGTCTTTTTTAAGAAAGGATGATAAAGTGAATGAATACAATATAATATAATGCTATAATCGCTATAATGCTAATATAATTAATATCTACTCACACATTTCCTATATTACAATTTATTAATATTATTTAATAGTATAATATATATTGTCAACAGTAAAACATAACCACACTTTCCAACTCGCACGTCAAAATAATGATCTCTCTCATCGTTCTTTCAAGAGTGACGAAGATAGTTGCAAACTGCACATGCGCGTTATTTTTTAAAAGTCATTACTACTCAGTGAACCAAGGCAGAAATCTGGCACCAGTTTGACTAGGGGATACGCTGGAGAGCAGTCTCCTTATTATTACTCCGTGGATTTCACCGAGTTTTTCCATTCACGAATCGCAAGTGGCAGTGACAGTAACCGTCAGAGAGCGCTACATCTTGTAGAAAATTATGATGAGTTTCCATTCATCGCCTAAAGGCGCTTGCACACTTCCAAAATTTTGGGCGAGCAGCGAATTTTCATGGCCTTGAAACTCACATTACTAAATATGATTGGCTCTACAAAAAGCTGCGTGAAAATGTACTTCTGTCAGAGCCAATCATATTTAGTAATGTGCATTTCAAGGTCGTGAAAATTCGCTGCTCGCCTAAAAATTTAGAAGTGTGCAAGCGCCTTAAGACTCTGATCACACCGTGATTTTACGTTCAACCCAAGAAGACTATATACAGGAGAACCAACTCGCCTGCTTGTTCATAGAGAGCAGTGGTCCCGTTTTTAACGGACGACTGGGCGTACTACCCCGAGGCGCACTAGTCTTCTGCACATCGCAACACATGCATAACTGTATAAACTCTATCTGTGTATCTTTAAATAATGTGTGTTTGTTTTGTTTACAATTTTCTTGGTTATGTGCAAGTTCTGTGACAGTTGATTTTGAAAACACTAAATGAAATGCCATAAAAGAGTTTGTATCTTCTGAAATATTTTTGCTTGATTTCATCTTTATTAGTTTTTATAATTTATAAATCTCTTTTAAAATCTTTGAAATATCGTAGAGCGTTAAATCCGAAAACTTAGTTCAGTTGGAAAAATTCCTCTTTGGAGGTTATGGTTAACCTCAAATACAATGCTATAACAGAAATAAATATAATTGCAGCAATAATAAATATATAATAAATTATATATTACAATAGGATAGATAATAATTTATAATATAACATACCCTTTTTTTATTGTAAGATAAAAAATGGTTATGAAAATCCCATTACAACTTTTATTATTTAAATTAACACTCTTCATCAATACGAATCATAATTAAAAACACTAGTGTTAAATACACTTCTCACTTTTATTAGAAATTTCTGTATTAAAAATATTAAGTTCACTTAATATTTACACTTATTATTCAATATGAGGGGGATAATAAAAACTTGCAGCTGTTACAGCTGTCAGATGGAATATATATAAAATATACACAGTTATGCATGTGTTGAGGTGTGCAGAAGACTAGTGCGCCTCGGGGTAGTACACCCAATCGTCCGTTAAAATCGGGACCATCGGAAATACTCGAGTTGTTCCTCCTGTATATAGTCTTCTTGGTTCAACCTTCTCTCCGTGTACGCTCTACGTTATCTACACTCATACATGTTATAAACAAAAAATATTAACAAAATTAAATTAATTCATTTAGAATACTTCTATAAAAATAATATTCTAATAAAAATAAAGAATGTAACTAATCAGTATTTTGTTTTTTTATAATATCAATAAAATTAATCACAAATTTTGAGGTTAAGAAATGATTAAATTAAAACAAAAAACCTGTTTCTTAATTGTCTCGATTGTCTCATATCGGGTGTAATCGCTCTGTGAACTCTGTGAATAATGGAAAAAATAAAACAATCTGCGTTTTGGTTATTTACTCTTTTTGGAATACCTGTTATGTTTCCCTGGTTATTGTACTACTTTTTTACCGAAATGATGTTTAAAAAAAGGAAATCTTCTCTAAGAGGAAAGGTATCTATTCTAATTCCAATTATCTGACATAATTACTTGATTGCACATCAAATTTTCTTAATGGTCTTTTATAATTTTTAATTGTTTTTATAATAATTAGAAGAGTAAAAATGATCGAAGGCTAACTAGACTGCATGAATTTGACAAATGACAAAGAAATTAAAATTATTGTTTGTTTGTCAGGTGGTGATGATAACAGGAGCAAGTTCTGGTTTAGGAGAAGCATTAGCTCATGTTTATTATAGTTGTGGTTGTCGTTTAATTTTAATATCAAGAAGGAGAGATGAATTGCAGCGAGTTAAGGATACCTTAATGAATATTCACTATGTAAGTTTAAAAAATAATGAAAAGAAAATAATTAAATTATTTAAACTTTAAATTTATACCTAATAATAATTGTAATAAAAAAACGGAGTGTCTATTCAACCAGTTAACTGTCAAAATAAGGTGGTTTAAATATTCTGCTGCCAGTGAACTGTCAGAATAAGTTGGTTTTCTTATTTGGCCAGTGAATCTAAAAAAAATATACAATTAATATCTAAATCTGGCCAAATAAAAAAGGGACTCTATTTGGCCAAAAAAAAAATAAATAAACAGTTTTTAATGTTTCAATATACGGGTAAGCTAACGTTTAAATAAATTTAAAAAAACAACTAAATATGTAAATGAAGTAGAGACAATTTAACAAAATAAGGGTGCAAAAGGTGAAAAAGTATTATTAATAAATAATATTAATTTTTTATTATTATTGCTTATATTTATTATAATAAGGAAATGTCAGGAAATCGAAATTTTTGTCAGTAACGTCAAGGAAGTGACAGAAAAAAAATTTTTTTGTCAGAGAAATTAAGAAAATTGAGACTTTTTTTGATTTATTTTCAAAAATTGCGGATTTTCGACTTTTCTTCCAAATATTGCAACAAAATACCACATCTTTTAGTATAAAATGCAAATTATTTTCATTTTTATAGTGCGAAAAATAACTATAACAAATCTTTCAAAAATTATTCTTGAATCATTTTTTAAAATAATTGAAATTTTGTAAAATTGAATTGAAAACAATTATTTTTTTCAAGTATTTTGTTCCAATTTTTGATAATCAACTTTTGAAGAATTTTCATTGTGAATTTTGAAAATAATTGAATTATCAAAAATTTTAATGAAAAATCCTTAAATGTAAATTTAAAAATGAAAATTAGCTTCTAATTAATTTCAATATTTTCAATTAGATACATATTTCCGAAACTTCAAAAAGGTACACACAAAAAATAGTATTTTAGAAAATTTATTTTTAACATTTTGGAGAAAAAATTCATGTTCAAAATTTTTAATTAAAATTTCTCAAGAAATTAATTATTTTTTTTAAATTATATACAAAAATTTTTTTAAGAAATTCAATTATTTTCGAAAAATTAGATAGATTTAAATATTTTTTAAAACTAATTCTTAGAATTGTTTTATCATAATTTTTTAAGATTCAATTATTTTCGAACAAAGTAAATAAAAATTTACTGTTTTACATTTTTTAAATTTCGGAGAAATCATGGTCATATTTATATATAAAATTCAAAAACTTTCATATATTCCTGCAAAAAGAATTTATTTTTGTCAGGGAATATAATTTTAATGTCAGTAAATTGTCAGGGAAATTGATAATCTGAAACTTGTGACCACCCTGACAATATATTAAGTATCTTTTGTCCTATTGAAAAGCTATATTAATTTAAATAATTTTACCGATTTAGGAAGAAATTATAAGAAAACTAACAACAAACATAAGAAAAAGCCTATATATTTATTATTTTTATAATATTAATTATAATATAAATTTTAGCAAAAATTTCTTAATAAGTTTAGTTCATGTCACACTTAAAGCTGAACCAATTTACCCGTTTTGGAATTTTTTAAAAAATTTGTACAAGATTGGTTAAAATGTTAAACAAACAAACAAACATCCAACAGATATTTATACCTGATGGGCGCTTTATTAATACAATGGCCGAATAGTAAAATCATCTTATTTTGCCAGTGCACTGGCAGAATTATTTAATCATCTTATTCTGCCAGTTTTTCTCTTATTTCTAGTCACTGGCCAAATATAATTAAACCACCTTATTTTGCCAGCTAACTGGCCGTATAGATATGGTCTAAAAAAAACTAACAGTTATTATTATTATAACAAGAAAATAAATTGTTTTAGACGGTCCCAACACATCCACCCGTGATACTTCCATTAGACTTAACAGAAATAAATTCACTAGATTCGGAAGTTGCTAAAGTTATAAAAATCCATGGTACAATAGATGTTTTAATTAATAACGCTGGCATTTCCTACAGAGGCGAAGTAGAAAATACAAATGTCGACGTCTACATTAAAGTGATGCTCATAAATTATTTTGCTCAAGTTGCAATAACTAAAGGTTTATCTTGATTCCTTATTATTCTAAACATTCTTGTCAATTGAAAATTTTAATTTTCTTTGTCAATCTTTTGATTAGCCGTACTGCCGACAATGGTAGAGCAAAAATCAGGTCACGTAATTTGCATAAGCAGTATTCAAGGAAAAATAGGTCTTCCAGGCAGGTAATAAAATATTAAAAATACTTTATTTCACAATTTCATCTTATTTCTTATTAATATATATTATTATTATTATTCTTTATTATTATTATTATTCTTATTATATATATATAGAGGATGTTGAGAACTTATTATAATTATATATAACCGTCACCTTAATCTGCAAACCTCATAACTCCAGTTTTAGTCAAAAGTACCATTTTCAATACCTAAATAAATATATTTTATAAATAAGAAGAAGCCTAAATCAAAATTGAGAAATATGTATATTTTATGTTTTATAATAAATAAATATATATTTTTTTAAATTTTGATGTATTACTATAGGTCAGCCTATGCAGCTTCAAAACATGCTTTACAAGCTTGGAGTGATTGTTTGAGATCAGAAATTGCCAATAAAAACATCCAAGTTACTGTAATTAGTCCAGGTCACATTCAAACTGCTCTTTCTCTCAACGCTTTGACCGAAAGTGGTCAAAAACACGGTGGTCAGTATATCTAATTTGTTTCAAATAATCAAAATATTTGTGACGCGCTCTGAAGAAAGAGATCGAAGAAGAAAAGGTGTCTACTATTTTCGTTCAACAAAATTCCCGGCTTTGTCCTAATTTTTCCCGGTTTTTTTTCTCATTAAATTTAAATTTATTTGATTTTCAACATAAATAAATCTAAAAATGGCTTCAAAAATTTTTATTAGAGTTTTTATGAATAATTAAATTCTTTTGACGAGTTTCTTTAAATTTTTTGAAAATAATATTTTTTTTAATAATTTTAATTAAAAATTTGGAAAATAATTGAATTAAAAAAAAAATTTTTTCAGTTTTTTAAAATAATCTTGTCTGTTCATAATTATAATTGAAAATTTGATTAATTCATTTTTTTTTTAAACTATGTATTGATACTAATTAAATTTCTGCAAATAATTTTACTATTTATAGCTAAAAGTAATTGAATCCTTCCAAAAAATGAAAATAATTAAATGTTTGCGTAGAATTAAAAAATAATTAAAATTTTGAGGAGGATTATTAAAATCTAGTGATGTTCAGATTCAAACATTTACAAAATTCAATTATTAACTAATTTACTAATTAATTATTTTTATTTATTAATTTCAAAAATTTTACTAATATTTCACGAACGAATACAAATATTTTCTAAAATTTTAATAAATCCTTTGAAACAATTCAATTATTTTTTAAAATAGTTAAATATTTTAAAAATTCAATTATTTTCAATCAAATTTCACGAAGGAATTCAATTTTTTTCATAATTCGTTATTAAATATTTCAAAGGATTCAATTATTTTCTAAAATTTTAATAAATCCTTCGAAACAATTCAATTTTATTTATAAGTAGTAAAATTCTATGCAAAAATTCAATTATTTAAAAAAAATTCCACGAAAGAATTCAATTTTTTTTTAATTCGTTATAAAATTTTCCAATAGAATTCAATTATTTTCTAAAATTTTAATAAAATTCAATAATTAAATGTAGTTTAATTTCAATTATTAACAAAAACGATTATTTTAAAAACTTGAAATAATTTGTAAAAGTTTTAATAAAAATTATTTTAAAAAATCCATTATTTAAAAAAAATTCAAAGAAATTCTTCAAAAAAAATTTAACTATATTTTTCAAAAATTTTAACAAAATTATTTTTTTAAATAATAAAATTCTTCGAAGGAATTCTATTATTATCAAATTTTTTGATAAAATTCTTTGCAACAGAGCATTTTCATGAAAAACGTCCGTACGTCACTATTTTAAAATTGGCTGTATCTTTCTTTCTAATTAAATTATTAGAGTAAATTTTTTTATTATGATGTGTTAAGAAATATAAGAAAATGGTTAATTTCAATTTTACAACTTAATGTATCAAAGATATATTATTTTTATGTCGTGACGCACGGACCAAAAATGTCCGCTTTTTCATGGAAATGTCCAACAATGCAATGATTTTCAATACCTACAATAATTTTAAAATTGAAAATATTTAAAAAGGAGAATTATTAAAAAAGTTAAGAAACAAAAAAGCAAACAACAACTAACTTCAAACTGCGAACGGATTACCGGAATACAACGATTATTAATATTAATACATTAATCAATACCTACATAATAATAAAATAATTAAAATAATTATACATAATAATAATTTGCTATTCCGTGAACAGAAAGTGTCGTCTTTTGTTTTTCTATAATTAATGTTTTGATTGATAATTTTGGTTATGAATGTTCCCGTATTTGAGATAACCACTCGAGAAATTAATTATGACGTAATGAAATTTTTTTTCCAAATTAAAACAATACGACCAAGACGTGTCTCTATTCAACTGATGTTTAAAATAGTATATACATGTAATTTTTTCAAGAAATCATTATTATTTTGTAAATTCTTATAAATTTCATGAAAGGGGCTAGCGGAGTAAGCATGCAAAATCTGCCCCCGCTCAAAAAAATTTGAAATTCTTGTTACATGTTGGCAGCATTAAGATAAAATTGTTCACTAAATATTTTTTCAAAAAATGTATTTTTGTAAGAGTTATGGAGGGGTAAAGAAAAATCAAAAATTTGTTTTTTCTCGAAAACCACTTGATCGATTTTAATAAAATTTATACGTGTTTTATAAATTAATAAGAGGAATTTTAAAAAAAAATTTCAAAAAATTTTGCTCAAAAAAACCCAAAAAAAGAAAAATTTTTGGTCTTATTTTGGAGATACTACTTTGGAATTTTTACAGAAAATTCTCCTAAATGTGTACTTTTAAGAAATATTTTTGTTGATTTTTTTTATTGGGTACCACATAGTTAAAAAAATTAAAATCCTAGTTGGCGCATCATTCTGGCTGAAGCACAATGTATCCAGCCATTTTGAATTTTGAAAATTTAATATTACATTCGTAATGAGAGACCCCAGAAACGCGTAATTACTAAATTTCAAGGAAATTTAAAAATAATCAGTTACTGGATACATTGTGCTTCAGACGGAATGATGCGCCATCTAGGATTTTAATTTTTTTTAACTATGTGGTACCCAATTAAAAAAATCGACAAAAATATTTCTTTAAAGTACACATTTAGGAGAATTTTCTGTAAAAATTCCAAAGTAGTATCTCCAAAATAAGACCAAAAAATTTTTTTTTGAAAATTAAAAAAAAATTTTTTTGGTTTTTTTTATTAAAATCGATCCAGTGGTTTTCGAGAAAAAACAAATTTTTGATTTTTGTTTCCCCCTTCATAACTAATACATTTATTGAAAAAATATTTGGTGAAAAATTTTATCTTAATGCTGCCAATATGTAACAAGAATTTCAAATTTTTTTGAGTGGGGGCAGATTTTGCATGCTTACTCCGCTAGGCCCTTTCTTAAACTTAGTATTGATAAAAAGTTTAAATTCTAATATCGAACAATTTTTTTACAATATATTCAATTGGTGAACTAAATTTTATTTGTCACTTTTGCTTGACAAAAATAAATTGATTAAATTCACTTGAATTTTGAAGTTTAAATATTTAGTATGTTTTTTATGAGAAAAATAGTATTTTTTAATTAAACCTTTAGACTTTTTATTTCTTTTGGTACATTCAGTCTCCTATATAAAATGATAATTCACTAAACTTTAAAAAAAATCCCATATTTTCTCCATTTTTTGATACTCTTGCCCTTCCGGTTACGCAAAATTGAGTACTTTGTATTTATTTCAGAAAAAATGATACTTATAAATTCTATATGTAAAAAATTTATTTCCTTCAATTATCAACATTTGAATGTTTTCAATATATTTTTCGGGTGAATACTACCAATTATTACGGTAAGCGGACACTTTTTCTAAAAAAAATATTTTCTAATCCTTTTTGTCTAAAAAAGGCGATTTCTAATGAAATTTGTTTTCTAAAAAAAGTTTTTCTAACAAGTTTTGATTTCTAAAAAAGTTATGATTTCTAATATTTATTTTCCTAAAATTTGTAAAATTCCATAATTTTGATGAAAATTAGAAAATTGTTAAAAAATTAAGATTAAGAAATAGAAACTATTTTCCATATTTTCTGTTTCTCAATCACAATTTTGTTTACAAAATTATAAATTTCTTTTTGAAAAAGAAGAAAAAATTTTATAAAATTACTATTTCTTATCACAACTTGTTAACAAAATTCTGTTCTTCTTTGAAAAAAAATAATAATTTGCATCATTTTTATACCAAAATTTACAAAGTTAATATATTTTTTAAACATTTTTTTTGAAAATTTTAAATATCTTTAGGAAAAAAATTCCGTATAATTTCTATTTGTTTATTACAATTTTTAACTAGATTATTTTTAAATTTTGTTAAAAACATTGCATAATTTCTATTTTTTTCTAAAAAAATTTTTTCTAATAAAGGTGATTTTCTAATTTTCTGTCTTCAAATAAAGGTAATTTTCTAAAAATTTATTTTTCTAATAAAGGTAATTTTAACGAAATCTCAAGTACAGGCAAACCTCGCTACGGCGGAAAGCAATTAGACGATTCCGCCGTAGAGAGGTTCGTTAAAATGCTATTAGTGCCACGGAAAAAAATAATTCGGAAATAGTTCCTGAATTCGTTCCGAAATTGAGGATATGAGCAAAAGTCGGTAATTATTATAGAGCTGTTATTTGGAAGAAATGTCGAACTTTCAAAATAGATATTCAGGAATTATATGGTAAGAACTCGGTATTTATGTGATAGTTTTTACGAAATGTAGCTGCTGAGTATTTCAGATAGTCTGGACGGTAGAACTTCCGATGAGATCGGGAAAAATTCAGAGGGTCGCTTCATATATGAAGAAGCTCTTATAAGGGCTACAGAATAGTTCCGGAACAATTGAACCCCTTGATGCAAGAACCAGACGCAGCCCATTTAATTTCAATGGTCTATGTCTGGTTCTTGCATCAAGGGGTTCAATTCCGTAGCAAAGAAAATAAAAAAAGAAGTTGTGTATACGCGTATAAACTTGATCGACATTCGTCAAGCAAGGCGAACTGTGATTGGTTGAGGAGGATACACACATACATACATACATAATACACTTATAGCTACCTACATATATTCTAACGCACACATAATTTATACACAAATAAACGCAAATACACGACGCATTGAATCGCACGCTGGTTGTAGGGACCTGGGAAGTCTCTTATATACTAGACTTTACTTTTATTCAGCGCTTGTGAGAAACGGGGTCGGCACATCTTTTCTTTCGATGAAGTTCGGGAATTATTATGAAATTTAAACTGGAGTTCTCCTTGATTAGACGCTTGTAAATACTATTTTAGAAGAAATATAATTTCTACGACAAAATTTCGATAATATTACACGGTAAAAATTAATTTAATACATTTTACGAAACTAATTTTGGAATAGCGGATACGGAGAGGAGTTTAGTATAAGATAAAACAGAATCAATAGTAATATATGATGACTGCGTTTCTCGAAAACTCAAAAAAAATTCTATGGAATTCACAAATGA